AACATGGGTTAGGACCCATTATCTCTGCTTTTTTTCCCCCTCCCTCTTCCAGCCAAGGAGAACAGACCATTCAGTGCACTATCCTGCACACCACGCCATGCACTGAGGGAGGAAGAAAACCAGTGAGAACAAGCGGTGCCAAGCAGCAACCCTGCACCGGGCCAGGGGCAACAGCCAGAAATCAGTGCTTCACTAACGGGAAGCTTGACTACAGTAACCAACCTTCCTCTGCAGTGAATTAATTGCTCTGCAGGAAGAAAAACTGTTGGAGGTATTCATGCTTTGTGGAACTATACAAATAATTCAGTCATACTGAAGTTGTATTTGACACACTGTTAAAATCTTGGGGTTTTGAGGTTTTTATTTTTTGTTGCTGTTGGGTTTTTTGTTTGTTTGTTTTTTTGTTAAGAGACCAGCTTCTAGGCACTTACTACACAATATTTTTAAAGCCACAACCTAGAAATCCAAATTGGTAGCTCCTTATGGAAGAGAGGATCCTCAACCAGGAGGAATTTGGAATTCAGCTGTAAAGTAACCGTTAGATTTGGCCTCTGGGATTTTTCAGGGTGAAACAGATCACCTTTTTGTTCCCTAGATGTTGCTCCTCTCTGCCCAACCCTGCACTGAATCCAGTAGCCTGGAGAAAGGGAAAAACTGACATTTAAAGCAAGGAACAGAAGAGAAATAGGAGCATTAGGAAAGCACATTAGACTGTGCAAACTGAACAAGTAGAAGAGCAGCGGCTGACAAAGCCCTCCATTCTGTTGCCACAGTCCAGATCACGCCATAATATCCCAGCAGCGCACGTGAGAGCCATCAACCAGTTGAATGTTGCCTGATGAAGGCACTTAACGTGTTTATTGTGAGATTAGATGCTACACAATATTTGTAAGGATCTGTGTTGCCAGTGTAGTGGAAACACATCTCATTAACAGTGATTTACTAATCAACGTTCAGTGGCTCTTCCTTCCTGTGCTGCTACGAGAGTTGGGTGTCTGCTTCCACAAGATGTATAAAAGACAGTGGAGCCACTGTAAATTATTAAAGCCCAATATCTTATAGGGTACAAACCTTTTAGCCATCCTTCAGGTTCTCTTTTCTCTCCATGAGTTTACAAGGTTTCTACCACGAGACGGAGACAGCCAGCTTGTAGTTATTGAAGAAGTACTGCAAATAAGCATCTCTTTCTCATAACCTTGGATCCACAAACCAAACCAGTAAAAGAATGTCTAGTTATCACCATGCTGACAACAGGAGCAGAAATAGAGCAGCAAAAAAGGAGGCCAAACAGCCTGAGGTTTCTCCATCTAGAGATTTGCAAGAGCAGTTTCTACACGGTACAGATCCATTGTTCTACCCCAATGAATTTACATGTGGGGTTTTGTTTTTTCTTCATTTAAAGCAAATATAAACACATGTGCAAGCTCCTCTGAAACATCTGTATGCAACCTGAGGAGTTCTGTCAGTACTTTCATTTAGGGTAAATCTTGAAAGGGAAATATACCAAAGCATCGTGGAGGGTCATCTTGTGCCTGTGCTTCTTACTGCTGATGCTACATTCCATATGCTATGGGATTGGGCTGGCATGAGAAAATTCAGCCTGGAAGTTTTGACAGATCATAAATTACTGAATTTGACATGCTGTGCAGAGAATATGCATCCTGGCCCTAACACAGGCTGGTGGAACAGTTCTGTCACTGTTGGTTCTTAGTGACCACAATTCTCCATTCTTGATCCCTAATGTATCAGACATCTTCACAGTTGGAAAGCTCCACACACACCAAAAAAAAAAAAAAAAATTAAAAAAGTGGAGAACAGAGAAGTAACTACTTTTTAAGCTTAAAAAGTAATCTTACCCAGGAAGCACCACCAGCACTTTCCACAGCAGGCAACTTATTTCCACTGTAGCCACTCGTCCTTCAAGAATTGGTTTAAAGAAAAGTCTGCAGATCTTAGTTAACAACAATCTTTAATATTTTGCCAAATAAATTTGCTGTTAATTTGAATGCGAAGATATCTGCTATTAGCTACCAAAGATATAACCCCCAGTTGCTACACAAGGGTTAAGAAATCATTCTGTGTAAGGTGGTCTCTCTCACTTCCTCATCAAACTCAGCAGACCCTTCAGCGGCTCATAGCCTTTTCTAGGCTACTAGTGTATCTAACACATTTTTTGTTTTTAAACGAATGATTCATCTTGTGTATCTAAGCAGTAGAAGCAAAAGCATTAAGGCTTATTTGTTCCAGCTTAATCACAAGTTTAACCCAAACTGAGGAAGTACCATCACGGTATTTTTTTTGCGCTGTCTGGACATAATGCTGATCTATGTAAGAGAAGCTCTGCTTTTCACCTAAACTTGACCAAGCGTTGTATTCACAGCCCTGCGCGAGATACAGAAAAACAGGTCTCCGGTGAACCTAAGAGTCCTTACCTGTACATAGACAGATGTAGTCCTACCTGAAATACTTTAAGCAGAAGCAAAATGCAAGCAATGCAATAAAAGACGTTTACAGATACTGCAGATCGCGCAGCTTGAGCTGCATTTCGTGCTCTTCTTTACACGGCTGTTTAAAAGACAAGGACAACAACTGTGCACATGGGGAAAGTTTGTTTGCATCATTTGCCCAACCAAAAAAGTTGGGTTTGTAGGAAGCAGTAGAAAATGTTTATCTCAGATTGTTTTCCTTGTCTGGTCCAGAGAACTCACATTAGTTCTAGAGGACTGCAGCAGCGAAACAGAGCAGCCCGATTGCAAGGGGCGGTGGTGAAGTGCACACCTAACTGTTCTTGCTTTGCCAAGACACGTGACAGGAGGTGCTTTTGCAAAAAGCATTCTTCAGCTGACTGCGTCACACTTCTTTCATATCATGCAACAACACATTCAAACACTTTGGTAAGCACTCCAAGACTGAAGGCTTAATGTCATTACTGATTTGAAGGATAGTTTCATAGCCTTAATAAGAATTCACCTTACGCACATCATCTTTATACACACACACTTGGAAGTTCTTTTGACCCACCACATAAACCAGTACGTCTCGAACTGTTGTCATCAGGTGCAAATTTTCCATTACACAAAGTCTCAGGCTAGCCTGTGTAGTAGCTGTTGTGAACTTCTTGTGGCCACGTCTTTGAAGCATTTGGGAACACAGTATGCTTAAAAGCAAGTGTAGTCTTGCCTTCTATATCCTAAAACCAGAATTGAGGCTACATAAAAACCTAGATGAACTGTCAGATTTGTCTACGGTCACTATTTAAATATTCCCTGCAATTCAATTGTGAACCTAAGGCTTATTGCGTACTAGCACAAAGTAAAATTAAGTTTTGTTAGTTAGGTTTTAAATTAAAAACAAATTTAAATTTAAAAAAAAATTTAAAAAAAAATACATGAATGAGGAAATAGCTATAAATTATCCTTCCCATTTCAGGATTGATAGTTTTAGAAGTGGTCATTTAAGTCTAACAATTATTCATACATTACATACCTGAACAAGTATATCAAATACAATAATTACCACTTGCAGCTGTTCTTTAAATGAACCATCTCACATCAGTCAACATGAAGCACAAAATGCACCACCTAATACAATGCTGTTGCCTCTTATAACTTTATATGGGCTCATGACAAACAGAATCATTGGGTTGTTAGGTCTAACTCTTGGAAGAAACAATCTCCAAGCTAAGGATTGAGACACTCCTTTCTGGCTTTAGCTTCCAGGCAACAGACAGGTTCAACGGCTCTCTAGCTGACTAATAAAAACTTTTCAACCCTTTGACAATTACAGGCCACAAATACCATAACATGGCAAGAAGTAGCCACCTCTCCCTCACTTCCTGTTATCATAATTCCCTGAGCCTGAACACCTCCCCTGACCTGTGGCTGCAGCTATTTCCCATGCTTTTGCATCCAGCTGCCTCACTATTTCTTCACACTACTGCCCTTAATTGTGAAAGAGCAAAACAGAAATTAAAAATATCCACAGTTCTCCATGATCAGACTTTAGTATAACAATTTTCTTAACACTTCCTAATTTGTCTGGATCACCAGCAAAATCAGAGTTGGAAGATTATTTGTTGAACTTCAGTGTTTCAGGTCCTTTGCTTTCATTTTACTAAAAGTCTTCAATTCATGGATGAAACATAATGAACAAAAAGTATTGAGTAACGACCATGAAGTTAGAACTTGTTTTGTCACAAGTTTCTCCTTGCATATTGTATTAAACCTTTAAAAGAGTTGGCTGTGCTTGCGTTTCATTTAATTACTTGTAAATACTTCCTGGCACTGACATTCATAAGTAGTTAACAAAGTTACATTTCATAGGCCTACCCTCTTAAAATTACAACCAACTCTTCTGGTGGCATTCCCTGACAATCAGGATGAAATAATTTTTGCTGTGAGGGCTTTCTAGTCCTATTATTTTTGCTGTGCCAACATTGACATTCAACCAGCCACACCGCGCATTATTTCAGAGGGCAAAACTTGCTAGAAATCTAAACGAACTCAATAGTGTTTCTCTCCTTAAACCATCTCACCATAACCCCCCCAAATGCCGAACATGGCACACAAGAAAGCTGGACTACGCACTCTTCTTAGCCATCCCATATAACCACATGCTGATTCTCAGGGAAGACAAGTCTTCCAAGAAGACAGATAAATGCCGACTTTATTATCCATACAGCAATATTAAGTCTTGTCTAATCTATACTCCAAGTTGACATGAAATGCAGAACAACAGAAACCACATCTCAGTGGAGTTAACTTTTTATTGAGGGGAAAACAGGTTTACATGTAGCTGTAGGTTTTTCCATCCGTACTTTCAAAACTCCAAAAAGGACTAGAAACAAAACTTGCTTAATCATTATTGCAATACCAAAAAGTTGGTGGGTTTTGTTGTTGTTGGTTAAACGAACAGCAAATTATATAACTAATTGCTATGTTCAATAAATATTTTTTTCTCCTGCACCTATTAAGGGCAAATGTTCAACAAAGTACAACAAAAACCCCAGCATTTTTACAGTTTTAACTTCAACTGTTAAATCCCCAGTGGTTACCCACTGTGTAGCAATCCAGAAACTTCATCTATAAAACTCAGCCTTAATTTTGAGTGTACAAGGATCTATCTTCCCAGTCAAATACCAAATTTTGCTCTAGCTCAAACAGTCTACACTCAAAGCAACTACCTGACAAAAAAAAAGTAATCCTCTGGTTCATGACTATCTAAATAAATTTGTCATTACAGAAAAGGCTCAAAGTCACTACTTGTTTATCAAAGTAATAGGTAAACATTTTAACAGAAAGATTAACGAGTTACTTGGAAATGCAGGTTTATATTAAAGTATCTGAGTGTGTATATTACATATGACATGCAAGCTTTAAAAATATCAATGCTCTCTTCTGATTAGTCAGGAGTCCAATTGTTTTAAAAACAAAATAGGAATGACTTCCAAAATGTATCAGCACTTTGGATTCTCTATTTCATCTTACTTAAGATGTTTTACTACACAAAAACTACAACAATTACAATATTTAAGAGTACTACAATTAGGAGGGATGGAAAACAGGAATACTTCAACCGAAAATATGTATATTCTAAATGAACCAAAGATTGGCAAAAGAGGTGGATGGAGGACAACAAAGGGAGGGAGAGGAGGGAAAGCAGTAGGGAAGCTAAGATCTGAACTTTGTCTTTAAAAATCACGTCCTCAACTGTAACTCTTCCAATCTTCAGTAGCGCCCTGGAAAAAAGAAAGACGATACAGTTACTATAAACTAACTGTACACACATTATCTCAGCTTCAATGTCCCCAACTTTTTTGCTTTCAGTCAGAATTTCCATTGATCGATTAATATGAGTAACAACAAGGTTTAAGCCAGCCAGATTATGTTTATTCACTTGTATTTACTCACTTGGACTATAGGAACGGGATCTTGATCGTGATCGGTATCGACTATAATAAGGTGATGGTGATCGTCTCCTTTAAAGGAAATTAAAAAAAAAAAAGAACATCCATTATGAAAGAAGCCTTATTCACATAACTTCTACAGAATAGAACCATTTCCTTAGCACCGAAAGACCTGGCCTTGCAATAATGATTTCAGCTTTATTTGGCTGTGGTTTACAGTTATTTAACAAATGCTTTTATATTTCTCTATTTTTTCTGTTTAAAACTGAAAGATATTCCCAGACACAGAATTTAGTAAACTCTCACTAACCTTGCAAACACATGAAGTGCTTTTACAGATGCTTACAATTTTTGCTGAACAACATTCTCTGAAACTAAATAACTTTCAAAACAGTGAGACAGTTATGAAATGTGAAGCATTAAAAATCCCATCTACAAATAACCCCTTTTTAAAAAGCACTGTGTGTCCCTGGTTCTATATACAGTGTGGAAAAATTAGTTCCCTATCTGTCCACTGGATTAATAGGGCACATGCTCCACCTCCTTCAGGTAGCAAAATGAAACACTTGTCCAACTGTTTTCTGTAAAACTAAATTACGTGAACTACTTTAATCCCACAAAACCTAATCTAATGAGACTCTAACACATAGCAAGCACATATGTAGAATCTCACTACAAGCGGTATAACATTTTTTTAAATTTAACTTTCCATTTTTTTCCAAGAAATACACTGTTCCTACAGAAGTAAAATAAAAATTAAGTACCTGTATCTGTAGTCATACTCTTCATATCTGTCATATCCTCTGTCATAACCCCTATCATAGTATGAGTCACGGCGACGACCTGCTCCACCGCCACCACCTCCTCCACTGCTGTTAGGGAAAAAGCAAAAAAATTACGTTATATACTCTTCATCTTGATTTAAATTATTTAAAATATTTTTTTAAGTTTTCTTGCAAATCAGACACTTAAGACTATGCCATGAAACAATCTAACAATGAAACATTTAAAGAAAAACACCTTCAAAAAACCCCAGAAAACCCACCAGAGATCTGAGCCTAATTGCCATCAAAATCAAAGGCAAACAGGCATCTTAGTATTTCAGTAAGCTAAGGGTGCATTAACTGACTGTGCTGGATGTGTATTTTTTTTAAATAACTCATTCAGTATTTTTTTATAAATAAAGATGCAATAAACTACAGTAGGACTTAATACTGTATGTGAACCACAGTAACACATTCTTTACATTAATAATATTGTGATAAAATACAATTGGCATAACTCTAAAATTTCAAAAAAGTATCTGTAGCTCTACTTTTTCAACCAGACTCCAAACACTCAGTTTAAATCCATTTTAGTCCCATTACAGGAAATGAGTGAACTCCTTACTGTGTTGGCCTGCCCATGTAGATGCCTGGGGTGGGTGTATGTGCTCTCTTGGTGATTGAATAATCCACCCGAATCCTCCTGCCATCCAGCTCCATACCGTTTGCATGCTCCATTGCCTGCAGGAGAGAGAGACAAGGAACAGGGACGTGAAACTTGCAGCCTACTGGTAACTATGGAAGGCTATGTACAAAGCACATTATTTTTCATCAGAAAAACAATTCCTGAACTTGTTTTATTTAGACTGGTTACTAGTGCCCCACCGTGGTGAACGGCTCACCTCCGTCCCCTGGCCCATTTGCCAGCAGTGTTACAGGACTGCACCGGGGTGGCGGAGTAACGTGACACGCAATCCCTTAAGAGAGCATGGTGCTAACCACTAACAGTCACTATTCCTAGACTTTGTCTTCTACCCATCATAAAGGTAAACTGAAAGCCAAAACAGCTTTTCCTGAAAACAGCATCTTTCCTACTGCTGTCTCTGACCCAGAGGGGATGGGCGGATTCAAAAGCTGTGCAAAACAGTGGCTTCCTGTAGGGTGCACATGGCCGGATTACTGCTAGTCGGCTGCCATTTCATGCTCTCCCAGCCTCCTGCCATCTCCCTTACAAGGACCTACTCCAGCAGAGCTTAGTAAAATGGCGGGTTCAGCCTACATGGATACCTAATTACAACCTTCCTCCCCACCCACTCTCACAATAGCAGCTTGCTAAAGTGATATACATAAGGGTCTGAAGCCCGTGCCTTCAGACCCGTTTGCAGCCCGTGCACGCAACTCACTGGGTGTTCTAGCCCCTGCTTCTCTTTGAGAATCAATACAGTGGCCTTTCAGAAACTCAAAATAATTAAAATAGTTTTTCAAAGGAGCACAGCATACTTTTGAGAATTATATTCATGCAACAGTTACTTAAAAAAAAATCCCAAAACAACAAAACCACAATTGTAAGAAATTAAAAAACAGTTAATGCTGGACTTGAAAGCTATTAAAATTTGCAAAGCATTTTCATTTTTTTTTTATCCTTTCATCAGCTGCTCTACGATCTCTGAAATACTAGTGCACTCCACTTACTTTGTGACACTACGCACAACACTTAGCCCAATATACATTATTTTATTTTTTCCTGTGTGGAGTAGAGACACTGTTACAATCTTAAGTTAAATAACAGTAAAGTGCCTGTGTTCTTTAACTGTGAGGAACGATACACACCCTCAAAACATCAAGGTGCCTCTAAGTAGAGCATTTCTTTCTCTTCTTTTTTTAAATAATGAAACAAACTATTCAGAAGTGTAACTTTTTTCAGTGCTCTAACAAGAGCCTTATTGAATTACAAGTTATAAAGGAGGAAACAAAAACTTGACACCCACACAATTTAATGGTGATGTCCCACAGTGGAAGTGACTGAATTACCACTAGCCTACACTACACTTAGTTTGTGTTTTAATAATGCTGTTTATATCTATGCTATATCGCCATCTAGTGAGTTCTGTTCCCATACAAAAACATAACAACTACATTTAGCTAACTGTAAGGCAGAGCCAAAGAGCATTTTAAGTCTTTCAACATACACTGAAGCATGTTTTGTGACTAAAACATGATGGTTAGCTTTAGTTTCCTAGCCTTGAGGTGTTTTTTTTTTTTTGAAGTCCTTTTCCTCAAAGATCATCTAAATGAAAAAAAAAAACGTGCACACACCCTAGAAATGTATGTGCATACAAAACTGAAAATTAAGGCTGCAAATTTCTGGCTGAAAAATTAGCTTCATGATAAAAAGCACCTTTCTGGAAATGCAGCAGTACACAACGTGTCTTGAAAGGTAAGGAATTTTCCACTTCATGGCATTTTTATGTCTGATAACAACTTGCAGAGTAATAAGCTTAGCTAAAAAGAAGCCACCTCAAATCTTATTTAGCTAAAAGAACAAACACCTCTAAGAGGAAGAGTTCTTTTGACATAAGGAGCGGTACAAAGAAAAGCAACATACTAACAAGACAGAGGAATAGCTAATTTTGAGACTTGTTTGTTTTGGAAGTACCAATAAATGTGTTACATTTCCGTGGATAAAGATTAGTTAATGGTTACCAGTCTACATGAAACTCAGACATCCTGGTCACAACATCTACTGACCTACACAATACTAAAACTTTAATTCTCATAGCTTTCAACAGCTGTCAGCAGAAAATGCCAACTAAAAATTTTAAAATAATATATTAACAATCTTTAGTAGATATACAGACATAACAAAGCCTTTTACAGTTCTGACTGCATCCCTCAAATGCAGAAAAGTCAAAACTTACAATAAGCCACTATGAATCCACCAATAATTGATAGTATGACTCACATTCAGTCACTATCAACTGGAAATTCTCTCCAAAGATGTTTTCAAATTCCTTGCATCTTTCTTAATGTGCACATCTCAAGTCTTTCAAACAAAGTACTTAAGTTGACATTATTAGCTAATAACAGCTCGTTTCAGACAAGTGATACAACTGTATTTATTTCATACAAAGGCTGTAAAAACATATTAGTGATTATAATTACTGACATTTTCGTGTTTTTCTTTAAAGTTAAAACAGTTTATAAGCAAATTTTAGATTTTACAATTTTATTAAACTAGTATGTCATATTCAAAACAAATTTCAGTTTGCTTTCTTGCTGTTTTTGGGTATGCATGAATGCTGTGTTAAGAGTATTTAAATGTCAAAAGGGAGAAAATTGCACATTCACTCTAACAATGTAGAAGACATTGTCAAATACTGTTTAAAATATAGAAGTGTGTTTTCCAGACCATCAAATGAAACATTTTGAAGACAAAAATCAAATTGCATTGGGGTTTAAGACACACAATACTCTCTTAGAAGCCTCTAACTGTCAACAGTCCATTTTTATTTCAACCTGGATTTTCTTCCAAATATCTGAATGTTGTTAAAAGACTTGCATGGCTTTTAGAAGATGTCAGTAAGCAAGCAAGCAAGCTTCCTATAAACACACACTATTAGTTTTGTTTGCAAACTCTAATGAAAAACTGTTGCTGTAGGCCAGAATACAAATCTATATGTTTGCAGTCAGAAAACAGAGAATGAGGACTGGGAATGGCACAGGTAATAATTCAATCTTAAATTAGAGTTCTAAAACTACAGCAGTCTATCCAAAATAACAGAACTCCTTCCAACTATTATCTGTAAGGTGTTAGGTTTGACAAAATGACCAGTTCTCAACCTACAGGATCACAGTCTCCAGTGGCTGAAAATGGTTAGAAAGAAAGCATTAAATTTAGCAGATTTCAATTTCATTTGATATTTATTACAGTATGTGGTATTTTCTACATGTACTAGCATTTAGATAGTAAAACAAGTTTGGAAACTGAACTTTTAATTATGTGCACAAACTTACACAGGTGACAAGGGAACAACGTAGGAAATTTCTGCAACCTCCACTGTGGTCACTGGGGGAAGAGCATAGGGAGGAAAGGGGGAGAATGGAGGGAGAGAACTTGACTTGTCAGAGCTGGTGTCAGTCACTTCAGGCTTCTACTAGGGAGTTCAAGATACCATTTGTATTGTACAAAAGACCATCAAGCCTTCATTTCAACTGCGTCTAACTGCTTTGAATTGCTTCAGTAATGTGACATCACTATGAAGTTAGCAAAGTAAAGACTGAATACACACAGGCAAACATGAGCAATTTATCTTGGGACTCACTTGAAACTGTATTTTCATGATTTAAAAATACCCATGTAAGATACTGGTTTTTTGTTTGCTGTGGGTTTTTTTTGGGTGTCTTGTTTGTTTTTTTACCTTAAGTCCTTCCCATATTGTACTTCATGCCACCAATAAAAACATCATCATCGCTGTATCACAGGTACAGCACAGGATGAAGAGACATAACAGATCAGCTTTTTCCCCTGCCCAGTACACTGGTATCACTAGTTCAGGTCTGGATTTAACAAAGACAGTTAAAAGGACATTCTGGGGGTGGGGGGAAGTGTCCATTTCACCTTTGAACAAAAGTTAATTTATATTCTCTAAGTTTGAGGGTTTTTTATATATAAATTTCTGAGCTTAAACATCCATTAATTAAAAGTGTTCTCTTCAAAGCATACTTTAAAGAGTTTCAGAGCCAAGAAATACAGGATTTTAGAGAACCATAATGAGTAACTGGGTATGCTTCTGCAAGTATTAGCAATTTCATGGCATTTAAGAGTCTCCAGAAGTCTGTAACTTGTAATTCCAAACATCTAAGACCTTCTTGCATTCTTTTTTAGTATATCAAGGGTCCCTTTTGGTACCACAAACATTACTTAAAAGCATTTCTTCAACAAGCTATGGGAGGAGTTTTGGTTAATATGCTTCTAAACTGGTCTGCTTGCACCACAGATTAAATGCTTTGCAAATTAAAGTGAAAAACCCTGTTATTATTCCAGTCTTTGGCAAGTGAATTATGTTAGTAGTTCAGTTTGTCTGTATAAAGTTTGTCTTGATTGCTAATGAATGTCTTATTTACTTCAAAAAACAGTTATGAAAGATGGTCAAAACTACAAAAAGTATAACTAGCATTAGAAAACAGAAAATTCCATATTGCCAACAGCTGCTGCAGCTAATGCTTCTCAGATCTTGGTACAGAAACATAGTACATTCACAGTAGCCTCAGTTTAAACAACAACTTGTACTTCATATTCTGAGTTACTACTGAAAAGCTGGATAGTAGCATATGAAATCCCTGGTAACTGTAGCAAGAACCATCTCCCTAGAACAGCCAGCACTTGTTACTTATAGAATCACAGAATGGTTTGGGACCTTAAAGATCATCGAATTCCAACCCCCCTGCCATGGGCAGGGACACCTCCCACTAGACCAGGTTGCTCAAAGCCTCATCCAGCCTGGCCTTGAACACCTCCAGGGATGGGGCATCCACAGCTTCTCTGGGCAACCTGTTCCAGTGCCTCACCACCCTCACAGTAAAATATCTTTCTAAAATAAAATCTAAGCCTATCTTATTTCACCTTATAACCGTTACCCCTTGCCCTGTCACTACACTC